GACCCTCACAAGAGACTGTCCCCACGGTTGGTTGTGGATCGGAACATACTAGGGCTGTTCCTATTGCCAAGGTAGAAGGGGGCGGGGCAGAGATCTCTCCCCTGCCACAGGCTGGTGGGGGTTTCCTCCAAGCTACTGACCCCAGACTCAACAGAGCCGTAAGAGGAGGTGGGGTGTCTTTCCCTTCTCTGAGGGGGCTTTGACCAGCTCCAGGCAGACACAGTCCCCAGGACAGTATTATCCAGAGTTGCAAACAGTGTAGTGTTTCAGGCTAGAGAATAAATGTTCCTGCTGTCGGCTTGCTGAAACTGGGTGGGACAGCGGAATCGGGGGTTCTGTAGGCAAGGGTAGGGAGGTGGGGAGCAGGTGGAGACAGAGCCCTGGCCCTTGAGTGAGGCTACTGTGAAGGCACTTTCTGGGACCACCCCAAGCTTTAGGCTGAGAGCCTAAAGCTGGGCATCGAGTAGGAGTGGACTGAAAGCTGCCCTCACCAGGCTGAGCCGCCCCGCCCCTTTCTCAGCTGGAACTGGGCTGGAGGCAAGGCTGGCTGGGACCAGGACTAAGCTCACCCCTCCCAAGAACTCTGCTGCTTTCAGGAGTTCCAGAGAAGACGGGAGCGGGAGGTAGGGACCTTCCTGATGGGGTACATTCTGGGAGAAGACCTCAGGCTGCTTGGTCAGGGCATGGCCAGATCCTGCAGTTACCTGAACCAAGAGCTAGTAGAGGACCAGATCATGGTGGTAGATAGGATCCCATGAGGCACAGTTACCACGAGTAGTAAGGATTGAGCAGCTGGGACACATATTTATAGGGGCCAACTCTCCTTCAGCCTAGGTCAGAACTTCATCTGAGTAAAACAGCAGCTGCCACCATTTGTCCCAGATGGAGCTGATATACACCCTAATGTCTACCTCCACCCACTACAGATCGCCTGAGCCAGGGGAAGGGAACAAGCAAAGCCTCAGGACTGGCTCTAGTGGTTACCTGAGTAGATTGACCCTCATGCATCCTTGCCTGCAGGAGAAAAATCCTTTCACCCAGCTAGGGATTCCCAGCCTGGGGCTAGGCGGGTCCTCCTCTGCCCAGTCTAGGCATCACTAAGTCCCTCATATATGACCCAGACTCAGAGGGAGGCAAGCTGCCCTGACTTTTTCCCTGCGATATAAAGGGAGCACACCTTTTCGGGCAAGGTCAGCTGACACTAGTTCCAACTGATTCCCTCTCATCTCCTGGACCTCTCATGCTCAAATACCATGCCTGAACTGGAAGTGTTGCTCAGTGGTGGACACCTACCTTACATGCATAAGGCCCTGGATTTTATCCCCAGACACACACACACACACATATGAAAGCAGGGGATAGGGAGATAGTTTAGTTGGTAGTATGCTCTCCCCTGGCATGCATGAGGCCCTGGGTTTGATCTCCAACAGTGCATAAAATCAAGGTAATGACACACATCTGTAATCATAGTATTCCAAAGGTAGAGGCAGGAGGATTGGGAAATTCAAGATCATACTTGGTTACATCTCAAGTTGGAGGCCAGTCTGGACTACATGAGACATTGTCTCAAAAAAAAAAATAAAAGTCCACCACCCTGTTAATCCATTCCAGTATCAGAAGATATAGGTGGCTTGCTTGGCCTCAGCCCCTGAACACCCATACCCTGCTGGCACTAATCCTGACCCTGTCTGACAAGAGGAGTCTCCTCTAAGCAGAAATCTTCTTTCAGATCTTCTTGAAAGGTACTTATGCCTAGCCCCCCCGCCTTTTTCTTCTCCCCGGGCCTCCAGTTTGCACAGAGCTTTCCAACACAGATCCACCTGCTACTGACACTTCCCAGAGGTAAGCAGAGCAAAAACAGCATCCATATTAGACAAAGGGGAACTAAGGTTTGAAAAAGGAAAGCAGAAAGGCTAAGAAAAGGTCTTAGGACCTGACTCACATGCTAGTGCTCCTTCAGGCCATGTAAGCACCACACTAGTGAGATCCTACCTGAACATGGGCTCCCTCTGCCCTCTAAAGGATACACCAACTACCCCGTCTCTCTGCCTCCCACACCTTCAAGGCCTGATAACATTCCCAGAGACAAAGGGACTCATTTAATCCCAAAGATGTTTGAGCTGGAGCCTTCATCTTGGTTCCAAAGTGGGCATCTAAAGAGGTACCAAGGCTGAATGAAGGCTGAAGGGCTGAGGCTGCAGGGAGACCAGCAAAGGGGAAGTGGGAGGTCTCAGAGCCCCATGATGCTCGTCTCCACCTGACCCTCCTACCTCCTTACATCCCTTGATCTCCTGCCCCCTCAGGATCAGGATCCTGCCACACCCTCTTGGCATCACTCCCTGCCAAAATCTTCATGAGGCTTGCCTCTGCTATCAAAGGTTAACTTCCTCAGCCAGGCATGAGGCCCTTTGCCATCTAGCCTCTGCTGACCTAGAAGGTCTCTTTGCCCAACTTGCTCCACAGTACCAATATTCTACCTACACCAAACTGCCTCCATCCTAGGATATATATAGCACAGAAATTTGGAGGTCAACTCAGTGCACATACAGGTGCACACGGCTCTATGTAGAAACCTACCAATCAACTGTATAGTTTCCTACCAAACTACTTACCATGCTGCCCTTCCAAACCACCAAGAGACCAACAAATCTGCTTTATGGATCCCTGGAGAAGCTAAGTGTGGTCATATCACCATCCCCAAATAGCTGTGGGGTAGCAAGGAAAACAAAAGTACTTCCCTTAACTCTGCCTGAACCCTTGTTAGGTCCCAGGGTCTTTGAGCCTCAGAGGGCAACAAAGAATGACCAAAAAGAGTTCTATTTGGGTTCTCATTCTAGGTCTGTGGTTAATGTCCTATATAGCCCTAGATAAACCATCTTCTCTAATTCTCCAGCTATAGGACAAAGGGACTTGGTTAAACTGACCCCAAGGGACTATCCAGACCCACTGATCAGTTCATGACAAGTGCAGAGGATGAAGGGGAATGTAAAGGCTTCAGTGGGCATGAGGGCTGGGCACCCTTCATGGCAAAATCCTCTAGCCCTGGAAAGTGTCAGCACATGAAGATGAAGTGAGGAATGGGCAGCAAGACCCTGAGTTAGGAGGGATGGCAGCCCAAAACCAAAGAAGAGCAGCTTACTGACCCATAATTGACATTTATTCATTCATTCACTTTTCATCACTAGATACTGAACCCAGGGCCTCACAAATGCTAGGAAAAGTACCACTGAGCTATATCCCCACCCCTTTTTACTCTTCAAAGCAGTCTCACTAAGTTGCCTTGGCTGACCTTGAATTCCTTCTGTAGCCCAGGCTCACCTTAAACTTTTGATCCTCCTGCCTCTGGAGTACTTGGGATTACAGGCCTGTGCCACCAGACCCAGCTCCATGATTTACACTGATGTAGCAAATAATTCCTATTGAACACCCACTTTGAGAAATTCTTCACATTTTTTTCACCTAGACTCACTAAATGTATGTGTGAGGAAATGCAATGGGTTAAGCCCACAAACTGTTTGCTTTAACTGGGCCCAATTCAGACCCTGGCCTCCCAGACTCTGAAAACATAGGTAGAGAGAAGGGACCAAGTTAGGAAAGGGGAGACTGCAGCAAGACTATCCACATGCAAAGTCTTCCACAGGCAATGGAAGCAGCCATGCCCATAAGCAGCCCTGCCTGTGCAGAGCACTTGCATGCACACTTACAGATGCATGCCAACGCCAGCATCCTGTGCACACGTGCCTGCACAGACACTGAGGACACAGCTGACAGGTCCTCAGCCCCCAGCCTTCCGCTCTTGTAGCTTTTGCCTACAACTTGGCATCCAATGAGAATATACTCCCAAGGGCAAGAACTGAGATGGGGATAGGACCTCTAGAGGCCACCAGAATACCAGGGCATAGGTGCTGATAGGTGAGGACAAAATCCATCGAAACCCTCTACACCACAAAAGAAGGAAAGGAAGTGGCATAAACTTTCCCCCTTCCTTAACCCTCCCTAGTCCCCAGAGCCTGTCTCACCTTAACTCTCTCCAGTTTCTAGCACTTGTGGGATCCAAATCTCCTGCCAGCCAGGCTGTCTAGAGCCCAGCAGAGAAGGGAAGCTCTTCCCAGGAAGACACACCAGCTCTGACCTAGAGCCCTTCACAACCTCAGGGTGGAAGAAGGGCCCACAGAAGCAGCCCTAGGCCTCACTGTTCTCTATGGCTTTTTATTCCTATGTGATTCTGTTGCTCACTCATATAGGGATTGGAGCCGTGGTGCACGGTGAGGATAGCCAACGGAGGGCTCTGATACAGAGCAAGAGGGCTCAAGGGGAGCTAGCACAGTAGCTGCAGGCCAAGCCAAGGGAAGCATTCCATTGCTGCCCTCTTCCCTACTCACCTCTGCCAGTTATAATAGGATGGGATGGGGGCAGCTGGGCTCCTTCATTGCTCTCACATACCATTCTAGCGCCATAGACACCCACTACAAGGCTGGCACCAGGGCCCCAACTGTGTCCCCAGAAGAGTGGCTAAAGAACATGGAATGTTCAGCCTGGGAAAATGGGACTGGCACAGGAGAACAAGTCCAATGTCCTATGACCTGGAGAAGCCCCTTGAAAAACAGGGTGAGGAGGCAAGACAGATTTCAGCACAAGGAAAGCTAAGGGCTGTCCAAATGCAAGAGAAACATCCTTGGTAGCGAGTAGTCAAGGTCTACCCTAAGAGGCCTGCAGCAGGAGAGGAGAGGACAAGGGTGCCACAGAGAGTCATGGCTGGGTGGCAGTAGGTGGCAGTCCTTAAGCCTGTCCTGCTTGCCACACTGAGGCTTCTAGGAGCCAGATTCAGCCCTCACAGACTCTAGACAGGCAAAGGCTCTGATTAACCTGAAACAGGCCCTGAGTGTCTAGCAGAGAAGGGTACGAGAAGCTGTCAGGTCCTGTGGCTGCAGCCATACCATACTTCCCTCCAAGCAGCTCCCTGCAAATCTGCACTGAGGAAAGATACACTGAGCCAAAGATGCGCTGAGACCCCCAGAGTATGCTCCTTTTTATTTTCAGTCTCCCTAGCTTCCATGGAAGAAACAGGCTGAGGAAATGGCAGGAAGGCTTTCTGGGCAAAAACAAGGAATAAGGGGCATGTCCTAGTCCTCAAAGGCCACCTGCTTCCATGAGAAAGTAGGGGTGGAGAGAGCCCCCACCTTCCAGTCTAGTTGCAAGGTGGCTATGGAGTAGATCTCAGCCAGGGCTGAGGAGAGAGGGAGTCCTAAAGCATGGTGAGGTCCTGAAGATGAAACCTTGATCTTCCTGAATGATCTGGACCTTGTAGGCCTCTCACAGACTCTCAAAATGTGAGCTACATCATCACTGAGGCCGCAAAAACAAGAGGTGGGCATCCATGACATTGGTCCCTGTCAACCCTGTGTACAGAAGATGTGCTCCACCCTGGAGGCGGCAGAAGAAGGTGTGTGAGTCATTGTGGGCAAGGAAGGTGGCCACGTCCAGGCCCTCAGCGGCAGCCTGGCTGGCAAGCTCAGACATGACCCAGGCCCCAGCAGCCTCAGTGGGCCCATCTTGCCCATCAGTACCTCCACTCAAAAACAGCACATCAACAGGCCCCAGTGGCCATCTTCCCAGCTCTGCTCCAACAAGCAGAGCAAGTTCTTGGTTCCGACCTCCTTTGCCAGAGCCCTGCAGCTGCACAGTGGGCTCACCACCAGCCAGGATGCAGACTGGGCCCTTAGCCTCTGCCACAGCCTCCAGAGCCTCCTCCAGCTGCAGATCTGGGAGCTGGAGATCAGTTGCCAACTGATGGAGCTTTGTTTCCTCCTCCATGGAAGCTGCAGCCATAGATGAGGTGAGGCGAGCTGCAGCTACGTGGGCTAGCAGCCCATAGAACTGGGCAACGCTTTTCACATCACCCTGCATGGCTGTGCTCAGCACCATGGCACGGTAGCCCAGCACTTCAGCCTGCTTCTGAGCCTCAGCCAGTGCCAGCACATTAGAGCCAATGATCACATTGAGGACATGACCACAGGTGTGTGGCCCATGGGGGTCAGAGTCAGCTCGAGAGAGCACAGTCTTCACAGAACGTGGCAGAGCAGCACGAAGGCCATAGTGATTGAGGATATGCAGGCAATCTTGCACACTGTGGGCACTGGCAACAGTGGGGGCACTGGCGATCACCTCCACGGGGTCCCCAACCACATCTGACAGGATGAGGCTTACCACCTGGACAAAGGCCACACATCAAGGTTCAGTTCTGCCTCCTCCATTTCCCAGAGCCCTTAAAGACAAACTATCCCTGGGTATCCACCACATGGTATGTTCCTTGCCCACAACTAACTTCTTGCCACTTTCATCTGGGCTCACAGGACACTGAGTCATGGGAACTCCCTCTCACCCTCTTTGGGGCTCCTCCCAGGACTTCCCCCACCAAGTCCCTGCCAACCTGTATCCTGGCTTAGGCTTTCATCTCCCTGTCACATGTGGGGAATTCAGGACTGTCTAAGGAATATGTGACTTATGCACCTGAGCAGGGTAGGCAGCCTGAGCCAGCCCACCACCCTTGAGCTGGGACAGGGCCTTCCGGATGGTGTTCAGCTCCTGGATAGTGGCTCCCCGGGCAGCCAGCAATTTGGTGAGCATCTGTTTCTCCTCCAGTGTGACAGGTGGGATGGGGGCAGGCAGCAGGGCTGAGCCCCCACCTGCAGAGTCAGTGAGGATGTCAGACAGAAAAGACATCCCAACCCAGGAAACTAGGCAGTCCACAGGGGGAAGTAGGCTAAGAAGGTGGAGTTACACTGCCCTCCTGTGGACAGAATGAGTGTGTGCACAGTCACCATGCCCAGTCACCAGAGGTTGTCCCCTACCTTGGGGTACTCCTGGTCCCAGAAGAGACTAGAAGAGCCAACTGTTCTTAAAAGGTTCAAACAGGGCTGGGGATACAGCTCAGTAGTGGAGTGCTTGCCTAGCATGTATGAAGCCCTAAGTTTGATCCCTAGTACCACAAAAATTATTTTTTGTTAAAGAAGCATGGCTCTGTGAGATAGAGACCAGCCTGGTCTACATGATGAGTTCCAGGACAGCTGGGGCTATAGAGAGACCCTGTCTCAAAAAGCAAAACAAAACAAAACAAAGCACAGAATAGGGGAAAACAGCAGATAGCCAAGCAAAGGCTCTGTAGGGAATTTTCTGGAGCCTGAGTGACATTGATGCAGACAGCAACATTTTCCAAAAAATTCTGATGTGTGTTAGGTGCCCCCCATTGTGCCCTCTCACCATCACAGAAGGTCAGCTAAGGAGGACCTCACAGGGAAGGTCAGGTGATTGGCCTGACATCAGGTGCACAAGGTACCCTCCAGGCTCCTCACTGTCTCCTTTGGTCCCAACTTCACCCTATGACCCTGGGGGCTCAGATCAACCTCTCAAGGATTTGGTATGTGCAGCATCCCCTGTCAGCTGTTCTGAGCTGATGTGGCACCCACACCTGAGATAAGCACAAGCAGCAGGTCATCAGCTGTGAGGCCCTCCGCCAGCTGCTGGATGGCCAGTGCAGCCCGCAGTGCATCACGATCTGGTAAGTTGTTCTCTGCACCCTCAAACACCTGAACCCGGCTGTGTGGCTTCAGCAGCATCTCTCTGATGAGGGAGCAAAAGGGAAAGAGGAGATGGGGTGAGCTTTTCTCCTCCCACCCAACTGCTCAGCCGTTCAGGTGAAAGAGGGATGAATGAGGATGCTGACTGACACCCATCTTCAACCAGGCCAGACCCAGGAGAAAGGGAGGTCCCTGAGGAAGGAAGCTACTCCTCCAAGGAACAACGGTGAACAGCCCCTGCCCCCCACGGCTCCTTACTGCTTGCCAGCATGCTCCATGGCAGCTCGGATCCCCTTGGGAACGCTGATCACACCCTGCACAAGATGCTGGCCCAGTAGTTCCTCAGCTGCAGCGGCCATGCCTAGTACAGCCTTGCCGAAGCCCACTAGGTAGAGGTTTTGCCGCAGCTGAAAGCTCCGGTCCCGCACCTTCAGCTGTCTGCCACCAGGATCCAAGGACAGTGCCCTTTGCAGCATAGGGCCCGGCTGCACAGCACCCACAGCACTCTCAAACAGCTGCCGTGCTTGTTCTGCTAAGGTCATGCCGCTGGCCATCCGGGCCACTGAGGCCCCCCAGAGGAGTGGACGTGAGGGGCCTCGGACCAGACAGGGTAGGACCTGTAGGGCTACAGCCATGCCCCACTTCTCTCAGCACCGCCTTGCATCCATGGCTGCCTAGGAGGAAGAACAAAATAAAGCCAGACAGAACCTACCCGTGGCCACCCTTCTGAAGACTCAGGACTGGTGGACCCCGCTGCTACTGCTGCAAGAATTAACTGAATGGAAACTCAAGGGGAACTCATGATCCCGCAGTTACCTGATCTCACTCCAGTCCTGAAAGCCCAGCCCTGCTGCCCAGCCAAGTCCTCTTCTGCAGACTCTGCCCCAAGTCCAAAGTTCCTGTTAACTGTGCCCTCCTACTGGGTTGCCCTCTTTGGCTGGGAGTTAATCATTCATAAAGGAAGCAATTCCTATCAGTGGGCTCCCCTGCCACCCCTTTTCCACATCCTGCACTTCTAGCCCTCACACAGAGGCGATGCCCTTTCTAGCATTCCTGCCTTACTTCTTTACCACTTGTACTGCCAAAAAAAGACTTTTGGTTATCCCATCAACTGACCGAGAGCACAATTACCTCCAGCTTGCTCTAGTTCATTAACTCATGAAACTAGTCTGGGAATATTGGGTCTGGGAAGAAAGGCTATAGGCTAATTCAGGGCATACAACTTGAGAAATCCCATCACTCAGGCCAGTTCAAGAAGTCTAGGTACACATCAGGAGTAACTACAAAGTCTGATTTATGGTGGGCCCTCTGGGAAGTCCCCAGGCCACCTACAAGAGGCCATGTGCTATGAGGCCCATCTTAGAAAAGATGCCCTTCTACCCTCATTGCTAATCAAGATCACCCTTGCCAGGAACATCCCTTTCTGGCTCTGAGATAGCAAAACAAGTCCTGAATTACACCACCCACAGTGGTTAGGAGCCCAGTGGCTGGAGAAGGCAAAGGCCAGGCTCCCAGAGCTAAGCCGAACAATCATTTTCCCCACTGGGCAAAGAAAAAAAAAAAAAAAAAAAAAAAAACTAGAACCCTTGTGATAAAGGTCAGAAAGCTATAAAGGACTTTAGGGGCAATAAACCTCCAAAGGACTCCTCTGTAAAAAGGCATCTAGATTTGGGGAAGGAAAGGTGCTGGGGACCAAACCCAGGGTTTTGCATATGCTGCGCATGCACTCTACCACTGAGCTATATTCAAGAGCCTAAAATGCTGCAAGATAGTAAGTGTGGGCAGAAGGGGAGGAAGCCTAGGAACTGGGGTTCCAGCTTTTTGAGTGGCTGGGACATCTACTTTGCTCTCTCTCTCTCTCTGAACTTCATTTGCAAGATGGAGTAAAATTATGACCAATTCTCTCAGGGAAACTGAAAGTGTGCTGGCCTAGTATGCATGAGCTACTGCGTTCAATCCCAAGATTGGAGAAAGGCTGATACTCTGCCTTGCCTCACAGTCTCAAGCTCTCTGATTTTGTCTGCTGTAACAGAGAAAACCCCAGACCAGTTTATCCCATACCTAAATCAAGTGGCAACTTCCAGACCTTTATCATTTTGCTTTCACAGCTTTCACAGAAAATACTAGGCCTGCCTGACATAGTGTGAAAGGAAATACACAGGGCATCACCATGAAATCTCTGTAAACACGTTCAGTTCTCGTGATAGCCAAACACATTTCCGCGTCTTAAAACATCTAATATTAGCCCGGCATGGTGGCGCACACGTTTAATCCCAGCACTCGGGAGGCAGAGGCAGGTGCATCGCTGTGAATTCAAGGCCAGCCTGGTCTACATAGTGAGTTCCAGGACAGCTGGGGCTACAGGAAGACTCTGTATCAAAAAGACCAAAAAAAAAAAAAAAAAAAAATCTAGTATTTACAGCCTGGGTGAACTTTGTACCCATTTCAGAGGGGCAGAAGCCTAGAAGATCTTGACTTGGAGTCCAGAACAAGAGGATGCTTAAGGCAAATAAAATACAGGACGTTCCGTGAAATTTGAATTTAAGATTTTTTTTTAGTATAAATATACCCAGGACATTTACGACATATTCATTCTAAAAGTCACTCGTTAACTTTAACTGGACGTCTTGAATTTTTCAGTTGCCAAATGGACATTTGCGACATATTCATTCTAAAAATCACCCATCGTGTTAACTTTAAATTTAACTGGACGTCTTGCATTTTTCAGTTGCCAAATCCCTTAACTCTATATACAGGGCCCCTTCCAAAACCCAGGGCGCTTCAAGTAACTAAATGAAATGCTTAGATCAGCCTCGATCCCTCCTCGGAACCAAGTAGGACATGGGTCACTTCCGGGTTTCATCGGCGCCCAGAAGGCCCGGAAGTGACGTTATCCTAGGGCCTCGGGTCTTCGCGATTAAAATGGTTGCAGCCTAATGCTAAGCGTCCCAAAATATAAGGGACAGTCGCCTGGACCTGCCCCTGTCTGGCCGAGGGATTACTTCCAAAGGCTAAGTCTTAAGACGCAAACTTACCGCTCTGCGGCTTCCAGCACTGAAGACCGGAAATACCCCGGGTGGGCAGGACTTAATTCGGAAGCGGGGTGGGGACTCCGGAAGCAGGGGCGTGTGTTCACTCCTCATTGACCGCGAAGAAACCTGGAAGGAGTCGCATCCATGCCTCAATCTCAATGGCTTCTCTCTAAATTGCAGTGGTCTTCCCCTCCTCGTCACCCTGCAAGATCTGGTCAGTCGTTCAATGCAGCCTGAACTTCTGTTAGGTGCTAGGCACTGAGCTGAACCAGGGGACAGAGCCACAACACCCCTTTGGAGACAGATTTCAGAGTCATCCTCGCTCCTCCCATGGAGTTAATTCCACATCTCATCGACGTTTCTGTTCCATAACTCTCACAAGTGCAAACTGCATGTAAACACAGATGACCCTGAGCCTTCCGCAGATTCATCTTGCAAGTATTGGCTGGACTCTTAAAAACACAAAGAGTACACTGTTTTTACTGATGGAAAGGAGTTGCTTCACAAACGATGATCTCACGTTTCTTTTTTTAAAAACACTTGGCGAAGGATGATATTTTCTGTACACAGAGTCTCACTGTGTAGCCCAGGCTAGCCTCGAATTTATGATCCTCCTGCTCCTGAGTACTGATGTGTACTGCCATGTAATTGAAAAGCTTAATCATTCTTCTGGATTTAAATTCCCTTGTTTCCCCTTCATGATGCCCTCTACTTCCACTCAGCATCTTTTCTTTTTGTGAGATCCCTTCCACTTTGCAGCTGAACAGGTCTCTGCTCCCTGTCAATGTGGGTAACAGAATATGACCCTGTTTCAAAAACCCTAAGGAGGTCTGGAGAGACAACTCAGGGGTTAAGAGCACTGGGTGCTCTTGCAGAAGATGGGTTCAGTTCCCAGCACCCACATCACAGCTAACAACCACCTATAACGCCAGTTCCAGGGGGGTCTGAGACCCTCTTCTGGCCTCTAAGGACATTGCATACATGTATAGTGCACTTACACACATGCAGGCAAAAACATTCAGAAAAACAAAATTTTTTAAAATATTTTGTATTTTTATTTTACGTGTTGGAGTGTATTACCTGCATGTATGTGAGTGCACCCATGTTATGCAATGCGTCGGAGATCAGAAGAGGGCTTCGGATTCCCCTGGAACTGGAGTTAAGAACGGTTCGTAGCTGCCATGTGGGTCCTGGGAATCGAACCCAGATCCTCTGCAAAAGCAGTCAGTGCTCTTAACCGCTGAGCCATCTCTCTAGCCCCAAAATAACTTTTTTTAACTAGAGAGAGAGAGAAATTCCAGTTTCTGTTTGCATGCAGGGCAATAGAAATATAAATAAGAATTAGATCCTGTCAATACCTTGCAGGAGTTCTCAGCCCAGTGGGCTAAATCTTGTTATCAGATGCATCTTGTGAGTAGCTTAGGAATTACAGTGGAGTATTTAAAATGGGTACAAGGCTGACATTGTAGCTCAGTTGGTAGGTTGCTTGCTTGGCATCCTACCAACTGAGTTCAATTGAAAATCTGAGTTCAGTCCCCAGCACCACATAAACCAGGCATGATGGTACATGCCTGTAACCTCAACACTCAGAAAGATCAGGATCTCAAGGCCATCCTCAGCTACACAGAGAATTGAAGGTCAGTCTGGGCTCCATGAGACCCTGTCTTTAAAAACGAAAAAAATTTACTGCCAGGCCAGGGTACAGGCCTATAAGCTCAGCTACTGGGAAAGTTAAAACAGAAAGATCAAAATTCAAAGTGTTGGTGGGCGTGGTAGCGCACGCCTGTAGCCCCAGCACTTGGGAGGCAGAGGCAGGTAGATCTCTGTGAGTTCAAGGCTAACCTGGTCTACATAGTGAGTTTCAGGACAGCTGGGGCTACAGGGAGACCCTGCTTCAAAAAGACAAAAAAAAAAATTCAAAGTGTTTCTGAGCCACAGAGTGAGTTCAAGGCCAGCCTGAGCTGTATAGTGAAACCCTATCTCAAAAATGTGAGGGGCTGGAGAGATGGTTTAGAGGTTAATTAAGAGCACTTGCTTCTGTTAACAGAAGACAGTTCAGTTCCCAGCACCCATGTTTAGCACAATTGCCTATAACTCCAGCTCCAGGGGAGCCAGTGCACTTCTCTGGCCTCCTTAAGTACCTGTATGAATGTGCACAAACACACACACACACACACACTAAAAATTTTTTAAATTTTATTATTTTTATTTTATGTGTGTGCATGTATTGCCAGCATGTAAGTAAGTGCACCTGTGTCGTGCAGTGCCCATGGAGGTCAGAAGAGGGTGTCGGGTCCCCTAGGACTGGAGTTATGGACAGTTGTTAGCTGCCATGTGGGTGCTGGGATTCGAACCCTAGTCTTCTGCAAGAACAACCAGTATTCTTAATCACTGAGCCATCTCTCCAGCCCAAATTAAAAATTTTTAAGTAAAATATTTTTAGGTGGAAATAAAAGAGGGCTAGCCAGGCATGGTGGCACAGGCCTTTAATCCCAGCACTCAGGAAGGAAAGACAGGCAGATCTCTGTGCATTCAAGGCCAGCGTGGTCTACATAGAGAGTTCCAGGCCAAACATTTGGCTAGCATGAAGGAGGCCCTAAATTCAAAATTCAATCCTCAGCACCATAAAAAAGGAATTCATTTCTTTCCTACTGTTTGACAGACTAGCCCAGAAAGGTAAGTGGTATCTAATTATGTTTTCATCACTTAATGAGAGAGGTGCACAAAATTTCCCTCTGAACAGCAGTGTGGGATAATAATAATAATAATAATAATAATAATCAGAGTAATGGGGCTAGAGAGATGGCTCAGCGGTTGAGCACTGACTGCTCTTGTAGAGAACCCAGGTTCAAATCCCAGCACCCACATGGTGCTAACAACCAACCAT